TATACTGCAGGTTTCTTACAGCATGGACTCGACGAAAAAATCAGTAATTGTAGGATTATTTACCAGTCAATCAGCAAGTGCTTTACTTGGCTAGAAAAAGCAAACAGATGGTGAAGACAACAACAAAACTGGAACATGACACCATTGATCCAGAGTAAATTGATTAATGAATATAAAAAACAAATTTGAGGGTCTTTCTTTATTCTTGTATCGCCGGTTCATGCCAAGAGCGATTTTTCTTTCAAGAGTTATCAAGCGCGTGATCCTTTTCTGAAGAGTCGCATAGCATAAAATACCAAAAGATTAGTTGGTCGAATCCGATGAGAGAAAGTAGTGTGATATGAGGCTTGTTCCACTTTTGTACCAGAAAATTTCAAAATATCAGAAGGGAAATTCTGAACACGAGAGTAAAACACAGGGTTCGGGACTGACGGATGTTAAACGTGAAAATTCCCTATGGAGATCGTAGGAGCAAGCTGTGCCAGAGCTCACACAGATTTTTTCAAAATTATGATGACTGACCAAACAAAAGGAATAAACATATTAAGATGATATAACGTATAAAATTGCAATAACGTATCCAACTTTTACCTACTTCATCAACAGAAGCGTGCGCCAAGGCTGAACCAGATCAAATTCTGCTGTAATGGCACATTACGAAAACTATAGACTACCTCCATATTCTTGAAATACAATCAATTCTCAATAATTTCTGACAGGAAGGAAAGTAGTTTACGCTAAACGGAACTCTGAGCCGCGGACCCTGAGACTGTGCGAAGGCCAAAAACAAACATAATGCATAAACTGTGTAATGGTGAAAACGCAACATACAACTTACTCGAATCACTGTAGCAAATAAATCATAGAGTAGACTAACTAAAATACTTGCAAGCAATGAGTACGATGCTGTAATGGCGAACTCATGTGATGCTTGGAGAGCGACATATTTCTTACTTCATTTGGCTGTAATGTTAAAATTAATTGTGATGAGATAGTAATAATTAAAAAACCTATGCTCCGGAAGCATAATGTTTACCAGTGCTGAAAGGGAACTCAATTTCAAACTTGTTGCTAAATACGTTTTGGATCTGCAGTTTAGAACACGTTCTACACTGAACATTTAAATGTGCTCGATAAGATTTGCGCTAAACTGCAAAAAACTCAAAACAGCACTTGTCTCAAGTAATAGCAGAGGGAGATTTATATTGCGAAAAATAGATTGCTTAAGAGCATCACTTATTTGAATTATTGTTACGATGGATAAAACTGCATTGGACTTCTGAAAATGAAACTACCTTTCGCACATAACAATGTCTCTTTGTGTTGGGGAATGAGATGCCGAACAGGATTATTTTTTTTGAAGATTTTCCTGGAATACACTCGGAGGCTAGTTCAAGAATGGAAAATCAGTTGCTTCTTATAATCGATCTCCGAACTCTATAGCCAGCTCATTTTGCGAACAAAAACAAAAAACAAATCCTGGATTGACTTTTAAAAGTGCATTTTCATCGACCATTCAATTAGGATATGTTCAAAATTCGAGGAACACTTGTTATGATTGAATGACTAAGAGTTCCGGATGGATTCTACTGGGATGTAGTTTATTCGGAACAAAGACAAAACTAAGTTTAAATCAGTTTCGAAAGTCATATCTCGTCGTATCGTCGTGCCAGTAAAGAACTGTAATAGGTACTGATTTTTTGATAATAACAATCTTCCACTCATATAAAAGATTTTCAATTCCAATTGAATGCTTGCTGCAACCCTATAGATTTTTTCCTTAACTCTCCTTCCCACATTCTCGCCCTCGCCATTTACACACTGATGGAGACAAATTTCCAAAAATTGGCGAAAATTGGAACTCAGCTAAGTATCGGAATGCTTTACAATAAGTAAAAATGCAACAGAAAAAGATATCGTGAATAGATTTTTTGAAAGTCTGCGAGAACATGATTAGTGCGAAGTCCGAAGAACGCAATCGATGGAGTGTGGCATTAAGCACTAAAGGATACGTAGAAAGAATCTCGTACCAGATTTCGTATATGAAGCATAATTCTTCCCAAATTGAATGTTCACTGAGAAATTAGCTGAGAGAATTTAGCTTGTCAGAATTTTCCCGCAGCACATTATCTAACAGAGATGTTGTCTAAAAAGAGTTTTTTTTTGAAACTCTGACGAGCGGTGCAAATTCGTCGAGCTGTGCCTCAGAACTGGTTTGAGCATCATTTGTGCACATTCTTTACCTATGAGCTCTACAAAGCTCCCTGAGTGCTTCAATTTTTTGAGATTATCTTGCCATTCGAATAATGTACATTTGGCGATGCAATTTGGCGCGTATGTTTTCTAAAACTTTCGTGAATCGATTTCTAAAAGTCTGGAATCTAACTTTTCCAGTAAATAGCACAAAGTGTCATGGAGGGCTCTATGGACTTAAATGTCACTGTTCACAACTGGATGGAGATTTTTTCGGGGGGAGTACGCTACGGGAACGTTTTCGATACAGGAGCTTGGCATAGGCACTTCCGAGATTTTCGAGATAGTTTCGATCTTTGTGCGGGCCTACATCTCCGAAAAAATACCTTACAAAGATAGTTTAGATTTCTTCATAAGTTTAGAAACAAATCCAATTGATTACAAGAAAAAATGCCACTTGCATTATTTTATAACCCCTTTTCCAAGAAGTATCGCAACCTCTTCTCAGCGTCCTTACTTAGGTCCACTACGGCAGCACACCATTTTTCTTGAGTTAGAAGCAAGACAATATCATAAGAAATTCGCCTAATAACGACAAGACATCAGACCTAGAAATTTTTTCCAAAAATTCAAATAATTCGGGAATTTAAGCAGTAAGGCTCACAAGTAATGCAAAGATCCACGAAGATAAGTTTTGAGTTCTTCGAAAATTTCGGAATGAAACTGGATACAAATTTGGCTATGAAAGCTCTTTGGGAGGAGTAAATAGGCATCTTTGTTGGAAAAGCTTTAGGAACTTCAAGAACTTGGAGCATTCCGACGAGTAGGTTTTGGATAAGTGGAAGTTTCGGCACTTGGAATAGTCACTGTGAGGTGTTCGGAACCAGCAATTAAAACACTTTGCTTGACAGTTTGAAGGGCTGCTTAGCGTAAGGTTCAGGAAAGTGCGGGTTAGGTATTCCCAGAGAACTAATACTTCGAAGCCAAAGACGAAAAGGGCTTCAAGAGTCTGAGTGGGCACCTTGCTGGATGAGCACTGTGAAAGAAGATGGTGATAACATAACTGCGAAAAGTTTTCTATAGCAAGACAGAGCACGTTTGATAAATAGGAGATCTGGGCTTGCAGCATAGGTAAGGAAGGGCCAGGATCTGTGTAGGTGGAAAACGGTTCTACTGGACCTCTAGAAGAAAAGAGCATAAGATGGCAGATTAGATGTTAGTTTTCACTAAATTGCCGAGCAGGACGGGGGGGGGGGGAAGGAACGAAGAAGGATTTAATTTATGAGGTTCAGGGATGGAAACAGCTTTAGCTCCACTGAGTCACGATACGAGATTTTTTAGATGATTGAACCTTGATTAGAACACGAGAGATAATTCGAATCGGCTTTCTCCTGGGAAAAATACAAAACAATTATCTACAGCATAACATCAATTTCTGTGTGATTACTTGCCTCATTTTCAGAATGAAAAATCGACGGCACACGGTCAAATCGACTTGCTTAGGCATACGTTAGGTAAGTACCAATTAATAATATTATACTAATTTAATATTATTGATAAGTTAATATAAATAGTATTAATAACGATCAATATCTACCACAAAAAATGCCATATCTAAAGTCAAAAGCTATCTATATCTCCAGCACAGGGCACCAAAATATCAAACTTTCGCTTCCTTTAATTTAGAATTATTTATAGTATAATGACGAAAGAAATCAGCCATTCTCTCAAGTGGGGAGACTAAGTTGGCTTGCTCTTCAAAAAGAAAAGAGGAAGTTTCGGGGATTCGAGAAGCAAAAAATTGAGAGGTCCTTTCGGTTGGTTTGAAGGGGATGTATGCAACAACGTCTTTTACAGCAGAAATGAACCAGTAAGAAACGAAAAATGAAGGAAATATGTGATTACGCAAAGGGACAGATTTGCTCTCCTACCAAACAATCACTTTTGCATTGTCGTTGTGATTATTGAATGACTTACATATTGCTATGCACATATAGCTCAAAAACTTTGGAGGTGAACGGAGTCAAAAATGACATATTACAGCTTCCTGCATTATCCAGTAAAACGACAAGCTTCGGCTTTTGAGTGATTTTTTAGCTTTCAGTTATCCTACGAAAATAAGGTCAAGCCAGTCTAATCCTTTATTTCATGAAATCTTCATAAAGATTGAGTTAAAGTTTCTTGTCAGGCGTAGTTCAGAAATTTCATCTTCTAGGCCCAAAATCAAGCGTTGAATGCGTTCTGCATTTTGCTCCTCACACAAAAGTAGAAAAGAAAAGAAACCATTTTTTGCATTTCGTATTTTTTTTCAGCGAACTCGACACATTCCAATTCTTTTTTCGTATTTTAGGAGACAAAAGTGTCTTTAAAACTTTCGGTCACTTGTCTTTGTTGTGGACCATAAAAAAATTTCACTAATATTCAAATGACTGAAAAAAACAAACTTGAATTATGGATAAACGCAGAAAACTAACTTCAAATAAACCAACGCCAATCATACAAAGAAGACATTTATTATTTGCTCACAACGCGAGGCAAAAAACAAAATGACTTGCAAATGGAAGCACACAGAAAAAAACCAAACTGCCATAAAAATGGTTGTGAGACACTACGTACCATGAAGGGTTGTACACATAATAGTGACTTTCATCAAACACTGTATTACTGTATCGCATGAAACCGCTGGAAGCCAGTCGAAAATACACTTTTTCATAATTTAGTTCACCATAAGGAAATTGGTTGATGCCCGAGAATATGGGCGGCATCATCTTCAGCTGTCGGTTTGAATGATCACATCAATGCGGAAATATGTTGGTCAAGTAAGTGAAGAAATTTGGTCAGAGAAATATTGATCACTACAAGCAGTGTTCGAAAGTCCTCTAATGTGAAAGATGAATGTTTTAATCCAATCTAACGGATCAAAACAGCAGGCAATCTTGCCCAAAGCTGCGAAGTACTGGAGAGTTGTATGCTAGAAAAATAGAGTGGGGAAGTTTATGGAAAACTCCTAAGAAAGACCGAGATTGCAAAAAAAAATACCAGGAATTTGAGAAACAAAATTCAACAGATTTCCAGTACATCGTGAATGGTGGCAACTAATCTTTGCTTCCAGCAGACCACGCAACTTTAGTGAACATACCCTTTTGCAGACGTAGTCTCAAATTAAAAGGAAATTTACAGATATAGATTTACAGGTGTTAGTATTATTTCAAACGTCGAGTTGCTTCACTAATTTACTTTTTCCTCGATCGCGATAGACTCCTCGCAGCCTGGAATGTTCTCTTGTCGCACAAATTATGGACTAGGAGAATCTAAGAAGCAAGTAAAGAAAAATTTGTAAGCAAATTCACGCGGGGTAATGTGATAAGAAGAGCGCAAATAACTACCAAATATGTTCACAATAATTTTGTAAAACAACGAACCTTTCTTATCGCTGACTTCACTTGCTTTGTCATTTTTTGTAATAATTTCTTCTTTTTAGGTGATTTCTGCACAATGGAAGTAGATGCTTCTTTTTCTGCCTTCTGGAACGAACACATTTTGGAGGGAAGCAGAGGTTCTCCCTAACCCAAGACCTAAGGAATCAACATGTTTCACGATGTATATGAAGATTTTTGGGTAGAATAACTAAGCGATTTTGGACCGCATGCAGTAACATCCCCATGGGGAGGGGATCGCAGTTTAAAAGAAAGCTTCATGTTCTGAACTCAGATATCTGGATTTCGCGCTGTCTACCTATCCGTAAATAACCCCACCATCCTTCACTGTGAACATATCGAGCGCGAGCAAGAAGCTGCACAAGCCGCATTTTCCAGCTTTCTGCGTGATCCCCTGATAAACCCCGAGGCCAACGATCTTGTCTTCAAGGTCATTTTCTTCCTCCGACTACAACGAAACCTTTTAAAGTTGTACTGATTATCTAAGCCAACAGTGCTAAGCAAGTTGCTGATGAGGACAAATGTTTTTGAACCGATTTTTCCCGATAAATCCTAACTTTCGACTTGTGCTTCATCGCAAATTTCATGACTGCGAAACATCGCTTGTATTTTCCAGAAACATGGTTCGCGCTGTTGGCGTTAGATGAGCAGAACAAATATGGAATGTTTTTATTGCCTTAAAAAAAGAAAAATGACTCCGAGGCCTAAGGAAAGGGACAAACCTCACGCGATTTAAGTCGCCACGCGATCTGGCAATCTGCCATATGTCTTCAAATTCAATACTGGAAGACCTCAAATGCACAGCATGTATAACTTCCGTAGGTTGATAAAAAGGCCTCTCTTCCGTACATTTAGAAACCCCGCAGGATGAGTTATGAACATTTGGAGTATTGCCAAATCGCGTGGCGACTGAAATCGCGTAAGGTATGCCCGAGGCCTAAGGCAAACCTTTCGAGATTCCAGTCGCTGCGCGATCTGGCACTGCAACAACTCTTCATAATGATCCGTATACGCACTTTTGGGCCAAATTTGCAACTTTCGCGAAAACTTACAAAAGGTACGCGCCTATGCATCTAACACTAGCTCACGATTAATCTGTAGACATCTGGCAAAACGCTAAGTCGCATGGATGTAGCATGGATGTAGAGATTTGACAGAATCGCGGGAAGCATGCCTTGGACCTAAGGAAAAGAACGTCGGCAGCTAGGGATCATCAGCGGATGATACAGAAAGCAGGAAATTGCGGCCTATATAGCTACTTGCGCCTGTTCAATATGTTCATAGTGAAGGATGGTGCGAATGCTTACAAATAGGTAGACAGCATAAAATCCAGATATCTATAAATTCAAGATATGAAGCTTTATTTTATGCTTTGATCACATTCCCAGTAGGGATGTTAGTGCATGCTGTCCGAAGTCGCTAAAAAAATCGAAATCAGGCTTCATATCGCTTTCAAATAGTGGAGTAAGAAGTGCTGCAAATTCCAACCAGCGCTTTCTGACCTTGAGCAATCAGCTCCACGATTACCAAAAAGCCGAAACAAATCCAACCAAGCTCAAACAATTACTGTGGAATCTTCGAGAGTTGTGCTAGCGAATCACATAAATCTTAAGCGAAAAGCTTCTTCGGAAATGAAGTTAATGGATTCAGGCGCAACCCCTCAAAGGGTCAGGCTGCCCTGAGTTTTGCAAGCTTGCATCTGACCCCTATATGGAAATTGGGAGCCAAACACTCCACTGGAAATTATAACTCAGCGAGTGCTATCCCATTCAAAATTTGCCGTCAAGTTGAGTGGGTCGTACAATCGGAAAGTCAGGCCTACAGACTTTCAAAAAGCAAGAACTCTACAAGGCTGATTTTCTTAACACTTTCGGACCGGTGCTGCACATGGTGCAACACGCGTCTTTCAAGGGTCTTTTTAGTGTTTGCAGGAGGTTTTCTTTTTGTTCAAGGCTATCAAGTCAAAGGCCTTTCGAAAAGAGAAGTGTATAATCTGATTCTTTGGGAGAAACTCGTTTTCTCCGTTACAATTACAATTTTCCGCTCGAGCCCGTCTAGAAAAGGACAGTCTATGAGCCAAAGCATATAGTTGAAGACATCTGTCAGTAACTTTTTTGTCACCCTTGCGGTACTGGGATGTTTGGTCTGCATCTCTACTGACATAAGGATTTCTTTTAACATGTTTCGGACCAGTGCTGCACATGGTGCAGCACGCGCCTTTCAAAGATCTTTTTAGTGTTTGCAGGAGGTTTTCTTCTTGTCCAAGGTTATCAAGTCAAAGGCCTAACCTCCTCCTTTTCAAATGACTCTGTAAGGCTGTGCCGCCGATATTTGTTTAGAAGGTATGAGGACAATTCGAACAACACTTGCAATGAAGTGCGGCAACGCGAACGACGCGTGCGACGTCGCAATTTTTCTTTGCTTCGAAGTCAAAGAGAAAAACCGTAGTTCATAAATGATGTGTATAGTGTACAACAGAGATACTTTTGGATGCAATTAAAAACTGAGTTCTTGTCCTTATCTTTCAGGAAAGCACTGAAGTCCTTCTCAGGCGACAAAATTCAAACACTTCGAATTCACTCAGAACTTTGTGTATGAATCTTATCTGACATGCTGAGTACGGATGTAGCAACAGCATACGAAATAAGGTCCCTTTGTTGGCTGACGGTTGAAAGTACCCTCTTTTTCGCCGCGCGATTTCGAGGTCCGAAACGTGTTAAACATATCACAGCTGACGTCCTGGAGTTGAAGCGGAGGGGTTGTTTAGGAACATTTACAAGAGGGGTAGTTATTAAAGGATTTGTGCCTGACCTTTTTGAAGGATTTGTGCTTTGCTCTTTCTCTCATCTTTTGCTCAACCCTGGATATGAGATAGGTGGCCACAAACAACTGATATTGTGAAGCCACTTTGAGGTTCCTTTTCGGATCAAGTAGGTGCCTATGTTCCAGTGGAGGTCCAATTTCCGTTCAAGGGAGGGAGAGGGACAACAAAAATTTTTCAAGTGAAAGTGGCGCCACAATGGATTTCTTTGTGTGCTTCTCAAAATTTCTGCAGGTACATCCCTATCCCGAAAAAAGAAATTTGAGGCTAATTCAAGATCTTAACAACTTTTAAAATTATTCTGATCATTTACAAGTATAAACTACTTGCAGTGCCCCCCCCCCCCTCCTTGCCCCTGTTCTCCGCCCGTCCCTGCTATTTCATTTTTTTTCCAGAAATTTTTTTGAAAAAACGCACAGATTCACCTAAAATGCCATGTACTCCTCTGGGTGGGGCACGATTAAAAAGGAAAAAACGGTCGAATTCCCGTCTATCCTGATGGAAAATAGACCGTTAGATGCAAAAAAGCCTGTAGCTATTGAAAGTAGTGGAGCACCTACTACTCGCCTGCTCCCCACCGCTCCTTAATATCTTAGCCTCCATGGGTCGCTGGAGAAAAAATATTTTTGGAGGAGAGCTCCATAAATTAGAAGCTAATATACTATTTGGTAGTTCAGAACACAGGGAACTACAGGTCTTTTTATTTTCTGGCTTTTCTGTGAAGTACGATCAGAGAAAATGTGTATGTAAGCTACAATATCAACTGAATTTTCGTTGTCTTTTCGCCATTTTGCTTTGTTTTGAATGGAAAATTTTTTTAGCTGTAAATGTTATTTGAAAATCTGAAGAACGCGGACATTTCTCAAGTTTCAGCGCTTCCATGCAAGGAGTTATAGATCATCTCTTGTCAACATTCATCCACCTTTGCCGGACCAGACTTCTCAGAATTGCTTAATTCTTTTCTGCAGCGTGCACGACGTGCGTTCTGCAAACCGGCTCCCTCAAAGAAGATATTCTTTGAAATTTTTCGAGTAGGTCTCGGCAGCAGTTCTGTGCAGCAAGCGTTGTAACTACGATGCCTTCTGGGGTAATCATGCGCTTTATACGCTAGCTGGGACAAACAGCAGCTAGCGTTTCATCAAACAGAACCCCTATCAGTTTCCAACGTTGCCGACTGCCTTGACTTCAGGACCGGGCGTAGGAAAGTGAAAGAAATGAGGGCCGTTGAGCCACGCAGCAGCTCTGAACAATCATGCATAATCCACTTCCAGGACCAATTGTGCACCGATCATGGAACACTCAGCATAGGGAGAGAACATCACATCGTCGAGGACTATCTGCGCGGAGAGCAGATACAGAATCAGTATGTGAAATGATCGTCTTTGGCACCACATGCATAATCAAACCCATTTGTAGATGATATATCCATCCTGCAGATATATATGTGCGAGACAGAGAAAGTTATTGATGACTGGAAACAAAACACTGACCAAAATACAACATCATTAGATCATGACCGCATCCGATGACATCTAGAAAGAGCTTAATGGGTGGGATTAAAAACGGGACTGACCCCAGCTTCGGCGTCGTCGTTGTCTCCGGCGTCACTTTCAAACTCCAGGAAAAACTTTGGAGAAAAAAACTGTAACATAGCTTCCGAAATAGTAGATCAACAGATTGAAGGCAGCGGCTCGGCAGGATGAACTATGGAATATTGATCGCTTTCGGTTCCCTTGGATGAGCTAAGTCCCTGTGCTTTGCTGCTTCAAAGATGTCAATAACCGCTTTGCCAGACGTAAAAAGTGCTATTTGGGCAGACCGCGTATGCCTGCCCTCTAGAGCGCGGTTGGCTCGTGAGCACTGTAGGTACGATGCCTCTACTCACGATCCCGCTGTAGAGAGCAGGCATACCTCCTCCCCCCAAATAGTACTTTTCAGGTCTGGAAAAGCGGGTCACTGATATCGTTTTCAAGATGCAAAGCACAGTCTTGAACTTAGCTCATCCAGGGGAATCGAGAACGAAGAATAAACCACAGTTGTCAATGTGCCGAACCGCTACCTCTAAGAACGAAAACCTATATTGCATAAAAACAAACATTGTCGGGGATTTTCTCCACCCACGTAACCTTTTTAAAACCAACGGCGGGGAGATAAACCATCTGAAACATATCTTCTATGATTTCAGCAAAGTGGTGAATAGGTAGGTGAACAGATTACGGAATGAAATGTAGATGACAAAAAACGAAACCAACCTGCGGATGTTTTAGATATTTATTCCCATACATATCAAAGCAAAATTCACTTCGTAAAAAATCGGTGCTCTGAAACATACTTTCCGTGCTTTGGCAAAGTAGTATTTAGTAGCAAAACGACAGATTATGATGACACAACACAACAACACACAAAAAGGGGCCAATCTCGTCCAACAACGAGAACTGTTTGTATATTGAAGATTTTCGCATCGTAAAAAACGATACCAAGAAGTCTCAGTCATAACGGGGAAGAGCCTACATGATACACCAGGACCACTCACTTAGCTTATCGCATAGTCAATTTATGGGGAACTTTGCTGTGGAAGAAGCGTTACAATGCCATCTCTTTCAAAGGCAGTGTCCGTGCACAAGCTTCCACTTTGCCCGGAAACTGCCTTTAAAGGCAGCGTCCGGGCAAAATTTCGAATAGAATTTTTTCGCTTACCTTGGCTTATTCCTCCCGCTGATTCTAAAAATGTAGCTTGGAGAGCACGCAAAAGCCGAAAAGGGCTTTTCCAGAAACTCTTGATTTGAATATCGCCTGCCGCCAAGGTTAAGACGCGAGTTTTCGTGGGACCCTATGTCTTGACTGCGTGCGCTATGCGCACTCCGGCTTATCGAACTAGCTCGTCCCGGTTACCATTTTTGAAGCGGATTTCTCGCTATACGAACGCCCCTTGTACTCCATATTTTCATATCTGCCCGGACGCTGCCTTTAAGCTCAGGGACTCGCGCCGTGCGGGCGGCCTGCGACGACCTTACAATCGCTCGTCGGTGTGTGCGATTGTAAGGTCGTCAAGGGCCGTTGGCACGGTTAATGTGGGGCGCCCGCACGGTCTCTAATGCTCGCTTGCGCGGGAAAGCTTGGCCGCTCGCTTGCTGTTGAAAATGTATATGGGATATTTCGACCAATTTTTCTTGGATAGATCAATCGATGCCTGCAGCATTGGCCAAACTTTGCATGGGAAGCCCACACCATCACTCTTCAATAGCCTCAAGCAGAGGTGCGGTGGGGGGAGCCGGGCCCACCAAAAGTGAAGGTGGTCCCAGCTACCACTGACCGGCCAAAAGTGAAGGTGGTAGTGTCGGACACACACCTCCCAAAAACGTCGACGGGGGGGGGGGGGGGGTAGAAAGGACGAACAGAGCTATCCCTCTAGGTCGAACTGTGACCCAACGGCCCTCTTTAGGGCCACAGATACGATGAATATCAAAAGTATTTATAAATTTTATTTATGAAAATTTAAAATAGACGTGTTTAGTGAGTGTTGTATTTGGAAGTAAAAGTTTGTTGGACTGTACGGATTTTATTAAGTAAATTTTGTCATAACATACTGCGAAGGAAGTAGGTCGACCTAGGCAGTAACGGCCGAGAACCAGAATTTTGAATATTTAAATAGTGAAAAATCATGCGAAATTTCCACTGTTATAAATCTGTTGTTTGAAGATGTCAGCAGTTGCGACTTCATAGGTTTTAGAGAGTGAATGGTGCTCTATCAGCTAGTAAAAGAATCGAGTGGATTTGGGAGATAATCGTTGAAACCCAGAGTTCTAAAAATTTACGCCATTTTTGCGTGTTTTTTGACAGTTGACAGTTAAACTCATGAAATCTTGAATGTGAAAGTGTGTGATGTTGCGACTTCATAGGTTTTATAGAGTGAAGTTTGGCTTATCAGGATATATCTTAGACGTTCCGATCCATTGGAACACCTCCGAGATCCAGGGTCTTGAAAAAGCAGGTAAAAAAGCGCTTTTTGAAATTCAACAGCTCATAACTTCTTCAGAACTGCATGAATCATGTTGCGACTTCTTTTACCTGCTTTTTCAAGACCCTGGATCTCGGAGGTGTTCCAATGGATCGGAACGTCTAAACTATATCCTGATAAGCCAAACTTCACTCTATAAAACCTATGAAGTCGCAACATCACACACTTTCACATTCAAGATTTATATGAGTTTAACTGTCAACTGTCAAAAAACACGCAAAAATGGCGTAAATTTTTAGAACTCTGGGTTTCAACGATTATCTCCCAAATCCACTCGATTCTTTTACTAGCTGATAGAGCACCATTCACTCTCTAAAACCTATGAAGTCGCAACTGCTGACATCTTCAAACAACAGATTTATAACAGTGGAAATTTTGCATGATTTTTCATTACTTAATTATTCAAAATTCTGGTTCTCGGCCGTTACTGCCTGGATCGATCTACTTTCTTCGCTGTACGTTATAACAGAATTTGCTTAATAAGATTTGTACAGTTTCACTAAGTTTCACTTCCAGATACACCATATACTGAGCACGTTTATATTAAATATATATGCCGCCGTATACATAAATATATGCTTTCAATAATCCTTTTTGCGTTTGTTTTGCTTATTTTCCTTCTTTATCGTCCAGCAAAAAATTTTTTATTCCAAAAGTGAAGGTGGTCACCTTGTACCAGCTCAAAAGTGAAGGTAGGGGGAGAATCGGCTCCCACTATCGCACCTCTGGCCTCAAGGCTCATTTCAGCCTTGCTGGTGAAAGAAAATGTTGGTAACACGATGTGTCAACGCTTAGCCAGCCTAAACACTGCGTCGTATCTCACGCAGGTACCGTTTACGCCCACAATGTGTGAAAATAGTGAGCAGAAAATAGAGGTCGACCGCGCCGACCGATAAGACGGACGCATTGCTGGCCGCTCGCTCGAGCAACTGTATTGCATGCCTGTGTACGGTAACATTGCCTGCCGCTAGGACGACGTTTCGGCTGTTTGCCGCACGCACGGAAGCTTTAGGCTTATGTCGTCCGCTTGAACGCTAGCCCATATAGGAGGACCGCTCGCACGGCGCGAATCCCTGGGAGGGCACCGTCCACCCTAGATTATAAGTCTTGAGCTTTTGACATCTTGTAATAGTAGGGCCTCCTATCAAGCCAATGGCTAAGTTGCGGCTCAACATGTCTTCTTCGGAAGCAAAAATCGCCCCGAAATAACGAAAAGGCATGAAAAATCCAAGTCGGCACCAGAGGTGCGATAGTCGGAGCCGATTCTCCGCCTACCTTCACTTTTGAGCTGGTACAGGGTGACCACATTCACTTTTGGGTTTGAAAATTTTTTTGCTAAAGCTCAAGAAAAGGAAAATAAGCAAAAGGAATGTAAAAGAAAGTATAAATATATCTAGGTAATAGGTCGATCCAGGCAGTAACCGCCGAGAACCGGAATTTCGAATGATAAAATAAGGAAAAATCGCGAAAAATCATTCCACTGTTACAAGTCTGTTGGCTGAGACCTCCGCAGTGGCGACTTCATAGGTTTTGAAGGGTAAGTGTTGTTCCACCAGATAGTGAAAGAATCAGTCTGATTTGAAGAGTGGCCGCCGAGAACAAGAATTTTAAAAAACCTTAAAAATCTTCTCAATTTTAGGCTGCTTAATGACAACTGACATTTAAAATCTTATAAATCCGGACTTTAAAGGTGTGTGATGTTGCGACTTCATAGGTTTTGTAGGGTGAGGTTTGCTCTATCAGAATATATCTTAGCTGTACCGATCCAAAACATCGCCGAGATACAGGCTCTTAAAAAAGCAGGTAAAAAACCGTTTTTCAGCTCATAACTTCTTCAGAACTGCATGAATCATGTTGCGACTTCATAGGTTAGATTCTCCTGCTTTCAGATGATATATAATATGTGCGGGATTCAATGTTTCTTGCGGCTCTAACCCGGGGTGGAGTACTCCTCTTCACTAATTTTCCACCCCGCCCATTTCATTGTAGTGGCGAGAGGCCGCCAGTGGAGAATTAGTGAAGAGGTACTCCATCCCCGGGCATATGCCGTGGGAGCTCAGATAATCGCCGGGGGCAGGCGGCCATGCCATTTTTGGGCAAGCGGGCACCGGAAAAATAGTTCGCTGATTTCTTGCGGTCCGCTTGCAGATATTTGGAAGAATTTTTGCGAAATTTTGGATGAATGCTTGAAGAACAATTGCGATTTCCTTGCAGATTAGCTGCGGTGCAGTGGCCGCATTCTCGCGGACTTTCCGCGAGAATATGCAAAGTTTTATGGAGGACCGCGCAGCCCCCAGGTACTTTCCGCTGAGAGAAAGTACCTCAAACTTGAGTAATTAAACCATCGATGATTCCTCTGCCATGTAGAGTCTCACCTCTGCTCGGCGTACACCCGAAACTGCTTAAAAACCGTCCGAGCACCAGCTGAAAATTTGACCAGCGCTCGCTGAGAGAGATTATTTGACGAGCGCCTGCAGAAAATTCTGTGTTGCTCCCCGCTGGCAGAACATTAAACAGTAAAGGAAGTGCCGCCCGCTGAAGGTTTGGCCACGCCCCGAAATTCTGCTGAGCGCCTGCAGAAAAACGCGAGTTTGCGGACCGCCTGTCCCCGGCGATTGTCTGAGTAGAAGCAGTGCAGCATCGTTAGCTATAGCGGGTCTGTTTCGCGATGGCTGCAGCAGCTAGGAGCAGCAGCGTCGCTTGGCTGCAATCGTTACGCATAAAAAGCGTTGCTGCTAGCAGCGACGCATCGTCAGCTATAGCCACCCATCGTCAGGTATGTATCAAGCCTAAAGGAGGCTAGATCGGAGCCAGTCACTGCAGAAGGATGGAATTGAAACATCGAGTATCCACCTTCAGTTCATGAATGTTGTCGATCTCTGCTTGGGTTGTTCCCTTGAGCGAATTATGTCCGCCGGTGTACTTTTCTCATGATGATTGGATTTCCATGGGAAAGTCGTGCGGCGGAAAGAAGCCAACTAGGTTTTGGCCTTTTTCTTTTTGGGACTTATACTCAAACTTCCTGATTTTATACTCTTTTTCCAGTAGCATCCCGATTTTCGCGTTGAAGTCGCCCGCGACAATTCAGAAGGATTTTTCGTTGCGGACGACCTCCTCCGCATCTTTGTGGAAAACATCTGGTTCTGATTCGACAGCTGCTGGTGTTGGGGAGTAGGAGTTCATGAAGCTGATAGTCTTCTTGGAAGTCGATTTGCGGCTAGTCGAGATGACAGGATCGCATGCGAATCGACAAGACGGAAGAAATGAGCGGACGACAAAGTTGAGCCTTCAACGTTTCGCGAC